AACTTCACAAAAAAAAAAAGCATGACTGGGATAGACCATTTCACCAGGCTTTCACGAATTCATCAGCAGGTCGGACTGTGGCAGTCTGTCAAGAATGCATATGGCTGATTTGTTTGGACATGTGGTGTTGCCCACAGCTGTGAGAGAAGTGAAGTTCTCTCACAGCGACCTTGCAATCCTAGCACAGCACTGAGTCAAATCGTCTAGCAAGAAGGGAAATATTTACAAAAACATTATCATGGTCATCAAACCCTTCCCCTTCCGCCCCTTCATGTATTCCACATCTGATCAGATCTCCCCACCCAGCTCTCAGATCTGCTTCCATCAATGTGAGATAGGTTAATGAATCAGTTCATGCCCTTCAGCCATGGTGTAAATGGACCACAGATGAACTGGAAAGACCAACACGGAAAACATTCCAGTCCATGATAAGTGAGCTGTAGAAACTCACCGGTGCCCAATGTACATTACACCAAGCGCCTCGTGTCCTCCAAACATCAAGATCCACTGCTGAAAGTGGCTTCCTCAATAGGCAGTCGGCCAGGAATGGAGGTCTTTCAACATCAGCAGAAGGTCTCCTTGAGTGCATGCCATCTCGACTGCCTCCTCTGAATCCTGATGATGGAATAACAGACTGCAGGCCAAACCCATAGCCTGAGTAACGCCCAGAACCAAATCTATCATATCTTGATGGTGTCCTCCTTGGTGAAGCTCGTGGGGATGGCCTGTGAGATAGAACTCCATTATCCCGAAGGGAAGGTTCTTCAATTGCTCGGAAAAGATCGTGATCCAGCAGTCGAAGAAGCTGATATGCCTGTTTACACAAATATGCAAGCGCATTCAAAGTTCAAACATAAAAATTGATCAGCACCAGCCCATGAACACGAACTTTTTCACCGGTCAAGCACAATACCTCTAGCATCACTACCATCATCGTTCAATTTCTGGTGTTATGCTCACCACCACCAACTCTGTCACAATTGCAGTGGCAGGAAACCTATACCTTGTCCTCCTAATAAGAAGAAAATCAGTGCAGCAGTCTCAAACACCCCTTGAAAGAGTACAGGCTCACAGAAACCCCATGACCAAAAACTCCAAAGGTGCTGAACAAACAAAGAGATTTGGTCCTTCAGAACATCCTTTAAACTGGAATGATACAGAGAAGATTAGAATAGGCCCTGTGCAGGGATGACAGGCACAAATCAAGAAATAAATGCTCCAAGTTAAGACTAGAATGATAAATAAAAAATAATTTCTAATGAAGCATAATGCATTAGCTTTCTGCATTCTCAAAGGTCACTCTACCTGCATCCACACAGTCCGGTCATGATGAGCTAGAGCCAGCACAACAATTCCTTCGACTTTCACGCGTATGCGAGCCCACTGAGCAGGTGTTGGTAGATCAATTCCTTTCGCAAAGGAAAGCCCTCCATCCCCTCCACCACCGCTACCCTTGGCGATACTTCCTCCATCCAAACCCGTGGACTGCTCTCCTTGGCGAGAGGCACCCTCCGATACAGAACTTTGATGATGATGCCCACCACTGCTTCCTGGCAGGATGGTGCCAGACAGAGATGATCCTCTAGAGGAGCACATTCTGCTGAAGTGTTGAGCCATCTTGGAGCCCCTTGGTGAAAACCGTCTCAAGAACTCGTACAAGACAGCCTCCACATCTGTCAGACGCCGTCTCCTGATCATAAACACAAGTTCGTCAGGCAGATGAACTTAGCACGAAGTACAAGAAACAAGCCTAAAGGCTGACACAATGCGGCAGAGTACTGGTCCTTTTAACGACCATAAGTTTTACAGATGAATCCAAATAACTTCTGCTGGAAGCCTGGAATGACATACTAACCTATGTTACTGGGCCGCTCAGCCCAGATCATACGGCACAGACATAAGCCCCACACCAGGAAAATCAGAAGATGCAGAGAAGGCTCTAATCTGCTGAAATACAGAATGCTTCCAAAAAACAAGTCCATTGAGGGCGCTTTACGCTCTTCCAGCAGTCCATCACACAATACATAGGTAAAACACACAGAAAATGAAGACAGCTTCTTCCAATGGAGTTTCACCTTTCATTTCGTCCTTTCTTCCTCAATGCCAAGGCATCCATCCAATGCATCATATTGGATACAAGACCCAGCACGGCTTTGCCCACGTGATAAAGGGTTATTGATGTCATTGAAATTATTGTGTATGAGACCTGCACTTGCATCTGAATACCGGAACCAAAAAATGGGGGATATGTAGGCAGGTAAAGGAAAAATAGCAATGGTCGATTGTTTGACAAAAGAAAAAATCATTGATCAGCGGAGCACAAGGAACTTTAAAGACAAAGAACGGTGTTCTGGTGTTCAAGACAAAGAATTGACCTCCCTCCTGAGCCCCACTAAAGGCATAGCACAAGCACTACCATGCCTGAAAGACATAAAAGTTAAGACCCCCCACACCAGACATACTAAGTACCTTGGCAACAAAGTATTACCCCCTCTCAAGCCCCAGCAAAGATAGTCCAATCATCACCAGGAGTTAAAGACATAGTACAGTAGGGAGTGCAGTAGAGACTACAGTACCGAGTAGCGTACAGAGTACAGAGTAGAGAACTGTACAGTACAGTACAGAGCAGTAGAGAGTCGGGCCACCATGGCCCGTCTGCATACCATGAGTCGTTCTGCCTGTAGCCCCTCCCACGTCTTGCCTTCCTTCTTCGCTGCGGGTCCCCTTCCCTCCATTTTTCTATCCCCGTTACATTTGCCCCTCTCTTCCTCCGTTTGGTCCACACCCTCACCCTGTTTCTGTTCCTCGACCACCTTCAACTTTCTCTTCTCTTCCGACCCCCGGTCACCCTGCTCGGCTTTCCTCTTCTTCTCTTCCCCAGACAGCATTCATGCCTCATCCGTCTGCATCGGATCATCCCCCCTTTCCTCCCATAAGGCGTTCCACCTGTAGCCCCTCCCACATCTTGCCTTCCTTATTCGCCACGGGTCCCCTTTCTATGGCCTTGCTGTCTCACCCTCCATATGGGCTGCTGCTCTGATCTCGTCCTGTACCATCAGATCCATTCGGATTTCGAGGTCGTGCCAATCCCTTCTCTCCTCTTCCGGGTCCAAGTGCAGTACTGGGTCCATGCCACTCCTAAGCTCTCTATTATACAGCTCCTGCATCGTCTCCGCTTGCGACAGGCATCTTCCATGTGCTCCCATATATCTGTGAGTGAAGCAGACTTCGCAAAAAAGGCATCTCGCTCGTGACAACCCCGACCTCCTCGAGACTATATGGACCCATGGCCACAGTTACATTGTTTTTCAACGGATTCTTCATAAGGCCATCTATTATCTACCTCACCTAACTCCTGGTCCTCGTTGTCAAACGTTTCCTCAGTGACGACCAGGCCAAAAATGCGTTCCATCGCCCCCTCATCCACTTGGGCGCTAGGGGGGAGGGCTTGAAGACCTTAACCCATGGCCAACGCCTGCGTTCGGCCAGCTTTGCCGCATTCATTTCCATCACGGACTTCCACGACCGTAGTTGCACCTGACCCCGCACACCCGGTACATTCAGGTCGTCGACTAGTCTATCGATCATTAGCCAGTCCCTCACTTCAACTGTGGGTGCAAGGTATATAGCAATCGTGTCACCCTCTCTGTCAATCTCCCCCCATCAGGGGCCCCTACCCAACATCCATGCCTCCTCCATATGCCTAACCCACTCCCGTTTGGTCTTTCACAACCAACTATGTCTCTTCCAATAATCTGCATGCAACCGTATGTGCTCTCACGTACGTGTTCTGCAGATACATAGCTACATTGGTGGGCCTTGCCATCCACACTCCATCAAGCGTCCCATAGCCCGTCGATTGGTCGGTGCAGCTAGTATATCTTTTTGGTATCTGCATGAGCGAGCACCTTTCGTGTTCAATTCCCTCCATATCTTTCGGCTCCCCCTCCCCCTTTTTTGGTATGTGCTGCCCCCCTTCCATCCCCCTTCCCTTCCTCGTACTCTTTGGACAATTCCAGTTGGCATTACTATGTCCGTCCTATTGAACAGCCCTCCCCCCTCCCTGCCAAGTCCCTGCACTGGTTCACTCCAAGCCAATGTTCCTATCTGACTCGTCTTTCCCTCACAGCTGATCAACTCTCCACCTGTGCTTACCAGAGGTAGCCCTACCTGAGCGCTCCTCTGAAGACCTCCTTGCTCTCGCAAGGTTGACCAGTCCTCAAGTTGTTTCGTAAATCACCGCACCTTACAGCCTATCGGTTCATCGAGGGGGACTCGGGAGAGAACTCCATTTCCGGCCCGTGTGGCTCAACCCCATTACTAACCCCTTCAAGCTTTAATTCCCTTATTTCCCTCCATATCTTTCGGCTCCCCCTCCCCCTTGTTGGTACGCGCTGCATTGACTAACCCCTCCAAGCTTTAATTCTCTTATTTCCCTCCATATCTTTCGGCTCCCCCTCCCCCACTTTGGTACTCGCTGCCCCCCTTCCATCCCCCTCGTTCCCTTACTAGTATTCTTTGGACAATTTCAGTTGGTGTTACTATGTCCATCCTATTGAACAGCCCTTCCCCCTCCCCGCCAAGTCCCTGCACTGGTTCACTCCAAGCCAATGTTCCTAGACGACTCGTCTTTCCCTCACCGCTGATAAACTGTGCTTACCAGAGGTAGCCCTACCTGAGTGCTCCTCTGAAGACTTCCTTGCTCTCGCAAGGTTGACCAGTCCTCAAGCTGTTTCGTAAATCACCACACCTTACAGCCTATTGGTTCATCGAGGAGGACTTGGGAAAGAACTCCATTTCCCGCCCATGACTAACCCCTCCAAGCTTTAATTCCCTTATTTCCCACACTACATCGTCACCCCCCCTCCCACCCCTCCCTATCCCCTATCCCCCTCTCCCTTCCCTCCGCTGGTAGCCCGTCGCATCCCTGTCATCTTCGCGCGTCCAATCCCGCTCTGCGCTTGTCAAGCAGCTACGGTCTTCGCGTGGGGGCCGTCAAATCGCCTGCGGCGAGATGCCTTCCATAGCCAGGCACCGCCAGCCTTTGCGTCTTCCGCTCGTGTTCGCCTAGGTCAACCCGGCGTCAAGCCATCGAGAGAGGAAAAAAATTTGTGCGGCAGACCGCCACATGGTCAAAATTGCACACTCTTGCTCCTGTGCTAAGACTAGCGCTAAAATTAGAGCAGCTCCAAGTTCTGTCTTGCCCAATGCCAATGCCAAAACGTGCCAGACCCTTTAGCGCAGCCTCCTGGCATTGGCAAGAGCAGCCTCCTGTGCTAAAACCCTGGTCTGGTGCCTGAGTTTCAGGGCAGGTCGATCTTATAAGGGCTTGAAAATGGCCCTCCGTTAAGGCTGAAAAGGCTCAGGGCCTGGAGGGCCCTGTTTTAGGCTGAAACGACACACGGCCTGTAGGCCCTTGTTTTCAGGCTTTCAGGCTGAAACGACACAGGGCCTGTAGGCCCTTGTTTTCAGGCTTTCAGGCTGAAAACGACACGGGCCTGAAAATGGCCCGTGCAGCCTGTTGCAGGCGCAGCATG